CATTGACTGGTCAAAAAATGGATGCGACCACCAAATACGAATACTGAAAAAGCTTTTCTGAAACCACGTGCACCATCCAAACTGGTTGTCTTCAACGTTCGCATACTTGTGCAGATCGGAAAACAGATAGGGCTGGCTATGCCTTTAGAAAGTTTTAATATCGATGTTTGTTGTCTATCCGAGACCCGTATTCAAGACTCTGGTGAAGTACTACAAATTCGGTCTCCATCTGTCGCTTCAAAAGGCTTGTTTTACGTGCGCTTATCAGGGACCCTGTGGCATCTTCGTCTGGTCTTGCTGGGGTTGGTCTCGCACTAAGTGCTAGAGCTGAGGCAGCACTAATTGATTAGATTCCCATTAACAGTCGTTTATGTGCTGTTAGAGTAGAAGGTTCCATCAAAGTGAGAAGAAATCGGTGTGAGAAACGATGTCTTTTCGTCATCTCCGCCTATGCCCCGACAGATTGCAGCCCGGATGCAATCAAGGATGAATTCTACCACCAGCTAACAGTCCTTATAAAGGAAGTGCATTCGACAGGTATAGTAGTACTAGCCAGAGACCTGAATGCTCAGGTCGGGCATTTAGGCACAGTAGAGAGTCGTTTAGGTGGCCGATGGGGACGTGTTGGTCGCAGGTCAGATAACGGGGACCGTCTATTGCAACTGTGCGAAGACCACAACCTATTTCTGTCTAGCACTAAATACTGGTACAGTCATCGTCGATGTGCCACCTGGCGCCCTCCCTCTGCACCTCAAGCCTGGACTCGGATTGATCACATCGCGATCAGCTACCGCTGGCGTGGTTGCGTACAATACTGCCGCTCCTTTTGAAGTACCTATCTGGACTCTGACCATGCACTTGTTTGCGTTAATCTTACCTTACTTTCCAGTGGCCAACAAATTCATCGTCCTAAACGAATTGATGTCAGTAAATTGGTTGCAACTAAATATCAAACCGAGCTATGTTCTAGGTTAGCTAACATTCCACCGAAAATTATAGACAAGCATTGGTCGCAATTCCCGACGCCATGAAAATGGTGAGTACAGTCGCATGCAGCTTCGCGAAACGTCCCACTTATGAGCACTGGGTTTCTTCTGGCTCCTTACAAATCATTGAAGCCTGTCAGTCTACTACGGGTGACCGTGAGCTTGACCACAAACGACGACTGTTACGTAACGAAATCGGGCAAAGCTTGAGTAAGGACCGAGAAGCCTGGTGGTCGGAGCGTGCTAATGAGCTGGAAGCAGCAGCTGCATCTGGTAACTGCTGGAAGCTCGTCTAACTCATCCGAGCCACTGGCAGCAAGAAGTCTGGTGTGAGCGAAACAATCTGTGACGATGGGTAAAGTTTTTCGAGGAGCAGTTCAACTGGTCTGTTGTCCTGGCAAAATCGATCAGACTGCCCTGCGCTCCATGGCCGGTGACGACGGATCCACCAAATGAGGCGGAAGTCCGCAAGGAACTCCAACTCTTGAAGCGTCACAAATCACCGGGTCCAGATGACCTACCTCTGGCTCTTTTTAAAGATGGTGGCGGCCTTCTGGTTAAGGAACTGACTGTGTTGTTTACAAATATCAGGGAGTTAGAGAGTGTTCCTACACCATAGAATGAGTTGCTGATGGTCCCTATCTTTGAAAAGGGTTCGCGTCACCTATGCAAGAACTATCGGGGGATAAGTCTACTTCCGATTGCGTCCAAGCTATTGGCTTCCGTTATACTTCGTAGGTTGTTCAAAACTCGAGAAGGATTGACTCGCGAAGAGCAGGCTGGTTTTCATTCTGGTCGAGTATTTATTGACCATATCTTCACCCTCCGCCAAATGTTAGAAAACCGTCAAACTTATCAAAGGCCAACAATCGTAGTGTTTCTTGACATCAGAGCTGCCTTCGATTCGTTGGATAGGTCTGTTCTCTGGGATTGTCTATTGAAGAAGGATGTGCCTGAGAAGTTTATTAACATCCTAAAAGCCCTATATACAAACACCTCAGGTAGAGTGAGGGCATACAACCACCTCTCTCCATTGTCCCATTCGAGCAGTGGAGTTAGGCAAGGTTGCCCAATCTCACCGTTCCTCTTCAACTTTTCCATCGATGACATTCTAGAAACAGCTCTGACGGATGTAAGTAATGGCGGTGTAGATCTGTTGCCTCGAGAAAGACTTCTCGACCTTGAGTATGCGGATGATATTGTCTTACTGTGCGAGAATGCCCAAGCCATGCAATCCGCACTTAATCAGTTGGCCATCAGTGTCCGTAGGTATGGTATGTGCTTCGCACCTTCGAAGTGCAAAGTACTTCTACAAGACTGGCAGGATCTTAATCCTGTACTCACCCTGGTTGTGGCATGAGTGATGAGATCAATGCATGCATAGTGAAAGCCAGAGCGGCTTACGCCAATCTGGGCCATCTTTGGCGCTTTCGTGATGTTAGTCTGGCCGTAAAAGGTCGGATCTACAACGCGTCGGTGAGCAGTTTTGCTCTATGCTTGTGAAACCCGGCCTCTTCGAGTTGAGGATGTTAGACGACTTTGTGTTCGATCATCGCGGTCTCCGAAGGATTGCTGACATCCAGTGGCAACAGCATGTTAGCAATGCAGAGGTTCGGAATCGTGTGCTCAGACACAGAGACGACAATCCAATTGGTCTCACCATCTTGAAACATCGAATTCGGTGGCTTAGACATGTTCTACAAATGTCGTCCCAGAGAATTCCACGTTGTGCATTATTTGCCGACTCTGGGACTGGTTGAAAAAAGAGGAGAGGTGGCCAGTGTATGACATGATGTCGTGGTATGAAAGAAAGCTTCACAGGACTGGCATCTGTTGGTCCTTCATGACTACCTGGTTGGAGTCCTAGAGATGGTGTAACACAGTCGCTAGTGGCGTTATCAGATGTGGTTCAGAATAAAGCCAATGGCGACCGTGCTGTAACCTTTTACTTTCTTCATAAAAAAAGACGTAACCTATTTAAGTGGAAGAGTCGTTTTGGGCTGTACTTTTGCTAATTGAACTGTCCCTCTCATTATTGTTATTTCACTATCATACACTAATTCCTGTTCATTGTTGTATTTCTTTCTTCTTATACGCACCTTACATTCTTCATATTCTTATTATTATTGTGTGGCGCATATATATTTGGTGCCACTTTGTACCAATATTAATGTGTTCAAATAAATAAGTAAGAATAACAAAGTTAGTGATAGTATCAATGGTCGCAGAAGAAACAAGACATAAACAATATAAGTGGGGAAAAAGTATAATTTTAAAGCTTAGGGGAATGTAGGGAGCAAATACATTCAGGTCATAGTAAAGGACTCTGAACGATGCCACCCAATGTCTTCAACAATTGTTTACAATGATCACACAGAACAGGTAGTCTGTACCTACGTGCATGGTTCAGTCCAGCTGTCAATAACTTTATGGACTGGTGAAATACCTTGACTTGGTCATTTCTAACTTTCAACCTACTCTTACACTGGATAACATCATCTGTCGAGGCGAGCGGTGGTTGGAGATACGGAAAATGTCTCAACCACCTCAGCTGATGACGATTTACTACCTCATCAGCCAATTATCATAATTGCCTCGTACGCTATTCCTACCCCCGGCATTGCTCACGAGAGAAAACCTATTGATGGGCTTTATGAAAGTAATTTGATGACTGATGTTAGCTCGAAAACTCTATCAAACAACCTTAGACTACTAACAAGTAGTTTGATACTTGTGCATAAAATACTAGGTATGCAAAAGTTGGGGATGGCCACCAATGTGTAATAACCACAATCTACGAGGAGGCAACTTGATAATCGGGATTTTCGAAATACTTTAGAGTAAAGTAATATTGAAACACTTCATATCTACTGACTACTCCACATACACTCATTCGAAATAGGGACTTACACGGCCACTATCTCGGATCGGTCTTATCTTACAAGATTGTATTTATTCAACTACCATTCAAAGATTTTGTAGTGCTGATGACACAGGCACAATAAAAACGACCTTAGCAAAAAATTCTGTTGGCTCAGCTTGGCATACCTGATTAGAAATCCAGGATGAAAAATGCAAGAGATTAAAACGATGTAGCAGCAGTGCTGATATGTGACTATTGTATCCCAACAACCAACTTGGACATTCACCACTTATTTTCAGTTTCTAGTTCATAACTAGGTCTCCAGGTTAAATTAGTCTGATTAGTCACTAGACGCAGCCTCCCGACAGTTGATTTTGTTCCAGACAGTTACACAGATGTGGCACTGGGAGGGTGCGGGAACAATAAGAAATGGAAGGAGGATGTGAGTAAAGAGCCTGACTTTTATGACTAATAGGGATGTTTTGAACAATGAAGATTAACATATTGTCACAAACGCGGAGTATTTCTGAAACAGATAGGATTGATAAATCAAAGACTTCGACACCAGTTCTGGTATTTACTGAACAGAATAAGTACTACACTACTCAAAAATTCAAACGACAAAGGATAAATAAGTCTCAGCACTTAAGACTCTACATTTGCACCAAGTAAAACCAACAAAATAACGTCCGCAATATCACGCCAAAATCAAAAAGAACCCTAGGTACATAATAACTCAGATACGAGTGATAAATGAAGCTCCTGATTTTTTCAGTCGAAATTTGGACTTGAATTTTCCTAAATCATCAAAGAAAAGTGAATAGGCTAAGAAACGAATATATCATTTTATTTTTAACACATACCCACTTTAATGGTCGAGTCACACTACAATCCATAACTTGTAGAACCACTAAGAAATCTCGCTTAAAGTTTCAACTAATATCTAAATTGAGAAAACTTTTAAGCAGTTATATAGGTGAGACTATAATTTACGGATGACATTGGACGACGCTAAAGTGACCTTGGGAATGTTCACCTACTTACTAGGGCCAAATGATGGTTATAAAGCAGTATGAAAAGTAAGAATTATGATTTACATTTGATATAATCTAAAATGAAAGGATGCTATTTAGACAATTGGATGAGTGAATCTCGCGTCAAAATCCGTCATCCTAAATCTGACCGGTTTGCCAATAAATTATAGTCTCGCCGTTAGAGATACTGTGTTAGTTTATTATGCTAGAAAAATTTAAGATAGCTCGGACAAGTAGAGAGTTATCCAAGTTGGTGATATACTATATAAACTTAAACTATTAAAGCCATGCAATACATTTATGATCTTACAATTACGATAATCTATGACTCAACAATCAGTCATCAAATTTCCATGCTTGAGGTTTTTGAAAAAATCATGTATTTTTATATATTTTTATGAACAGAAGTTTTGTCGACTAGTGACCAGTCGCTTGAATGAAACCATATAAGCCAAAAGATGATAAGAACTAGCAATTAGAAGAAAGTATTGGTATATATTTATTGAGTATTTTTGCTTTTTGATTCTTTGAAAGGAACATCTGAAGGCCCATACTAAAAAGAATGTTAGAAGAAAAACCATTTACCTTATCCCATAATGTTTTGAGGTCCCTCTTCATAGCGTAGGCATCCTCACCATCAGCGTAATATTTAGGTTCTATATCTGATACTCTGGAAAGACTGGTCAGAAACAAAGTAGTGTTTACACAAAGTGTAGAGTTTTTTTGTAGAGACTAAGTGCAGCCCTATTACTTTTCCGAACGTGAAGAGAGACATATCTAGCGTGGAAATTTTCTACCATAGCTCTTGATGCCAGATTCATCAGCGTTTCAGCAATCCCTAATCGCCGATATGGTCGTTTGACTGCCAAAGAAGTAATATGTCCATAAGGGACGTCTTCAGGATCTTCTTCCCTATCCAAAGTTAATGTACAACGAGTTCTTACATTTTTGCCAAGACATAGCCCACAATCTCCCCACTATCTGTTTCTGCTACATATGATAACTGTGGCCAAGATAAACCATGATAAAAGTAGTACTTCATTTGATAGTTTTCCGGCAAGCAATCTAGATTGCAATCTCTCATGTTTAGCAAATCGGTTGGCTGGGGGATAAATATAAATTGAAATTACAACCTACCCTGGCATTCCTAACGTTCATCTTCACGAAGTAAGGCGTGACCTACAAATCAAAAACAGCGGCACTGTGAGACCTTTCAGGTGCAATCAACTAAATGGTTCAATTAGTTGTGAACGGAATATAAGCTCTTGATTAACGGGCTTTCGTAGCTAGTAGCAGTAGATTTTTGATGTGGCCAAGTAGGATCCTGTGGATATTTAATGATCAAAGAGAAAAAACATTGGTAAATTACAGCGAGATGATGTGCTTCGTCATTAATAATATGTCAGCAGGTATTTGAGATGTCCAGAAGTGTTTAGAACGTCATAAGTCATACGTAGGTCTTATTTGCGACGCCTATAGCCTAATGGATTAGGGTTAAGTGACTAGAGGTGCTCTTCAAAAGGCTTGATTTTAAGTACCAGAACTGATTTCCTTGCTCGCTGCTGGATACGTTTCCGAGTGTCCCTATCATTTTTAAGTAGGGGGGAATACCACGATTCCACACTTTAAACGGGGACAAATAAAACTGCTGAAGATTAGGTGGAAGTTTTGCTGTATCAACTTCTTTCGGAAATTGGTGTAAAGTGAACCAACTTAGAGTGTAGATCACCAGCGTGGATGATCTATGTCGAAATGATTGGAGGCTTACTCGAGTTAGACGTGAGTGGTGTGACAAACTAGCTAACGTCAAAGTCACACTTTGCGGTCTGCACATTACATGGATTACCCCATTGACGTATCAAGGTACTACAGATGCTTTGAAGACTGTACAACACAGAGGACGTCATTACAGAAATATATTAGTTAAAGTAGATACAAGCGAAGGTACGACCACTACCGCATGGACCAGTCCATGGCGTACGATTAACTGATGAGCGTTGGTTGTCCTTGACATTGACGAGGATCGGTGATCTGTTCGAGATCCAATGACCCAACTACCGGATGATTTGGCTCCGGCTCAGTGGAATTTCGCTGGCCCTACAACAGTTTTCGGGGACCGTGTTCTTGTAGTGGCATTGGACTCTAACCCTACGACTTTTGAAGCCAAGCATGTAATTACTGAAAAGATTTATATTCAAAAATTAAAACAAAGAGAAGCTCAAGAGTGGTGAACGCGGGAATATTCATGCGTTCAGTCGGATGGAATGACTCGGCTTCGCAGACGTGTTTATTCAGGATAACTTGTCTTTATTCACATTAAATATATTATCCTATCTTCAGCTCAAATGTGTTCTTCAGAAACGCAAACTATCATATTGTTAATTGATACGATACGATGAGTCAGTGTAGACAATGATGTGACTTCTACGTAAGATTTTGTAGATTAGGTAGTCACATAATGACAATTATATGCTTTTAGGAATAGGTCTGTTATTATAATGATACTAATAACGAAGTAGATCATAATTCTACAACTTTATTTTGCGAATGTGAGAGCATCTTGCTAAGCGGTGTTACCAAGATTGAAGCCTGTCCCATTAGTACGACAGAATGGACAATACCTGGGTCAGAAGGGGCGTTTCTGTTTAGGTGCTTCGGTTTTTGATGCGCCACGCCAGCGCTGAGGTCCACTTCTGTATGTCTTGTAGAGTTTCAGGTGAAACTGTAGTCGATATAGCAATGTTGAATGGTTGAAATGTCTCAAAACGCTGTTCCGCCAGGAGCTCAGCAGCACCACAGTAGTTGTTGGCTCGACCATTAGGATCTAGCAGTTGAGAAACTCCAGTTTTGGTTTGCCAAAGGAGGGGAGCTGCAAGACGAAATAAGCTATTCAGATTAGAGACCAAGTTACTAATTATCTTAACATAAAACTGAAGTCTCTTTTCATTAAGCGTCTTTGTGGATTGATTTCTTGCTTGTTTGAATTACTTTTATGCTTTGACTTCAATGGTTTGTTTGTGTTCCTTGCAGTAGTAACACTCCTCATAACCATACGTCTATTGTAACTTTTGAGGACCGTTTGTAAAACAGATTGGTTTTTAGCACGTACGATAGTGTGCAGTAAAAATGCTCAGTGAGTGTCCACACCAAGCTAAGGGTACACTTCTCAGCAGACCTGCTGTAGGTTTCCATGTAAAGCTGGCACATTGAAACATCTGAAATTTCGATGTATGTCTTTAGTAGGATGTTTTAACTTGGCCTTAATGATAAAATTAAAGGCTATGACGACATAATCACGTTTTTTCATGAGTGGGGCAGGATTGAGAGGTTGTTAGTTAGGAAGTTTTCGTTCGTAAAAATCCAGTCTAAGCGTGACGGTTTCCGACTATTTCTCAAGTGAGTTATTGTGTGGACATTTCCGAATGATCTCAAATCGTCAATGAGGTTATAGAACCGATCCTCAGCAGACTTGTCACCTCCAATGTACGTGTCTTCCTCAAAGTTGACTTTAGGAAGATGGATGCCTCCTATGATTAGGATAGGAGGGCACCCGACACAAATAGAGCGAGATTACCTTTGTATCATCAGACTGAGGTACTCGATGTAAGCAGTAGGTTCCCTGTAGGTGACTCCATCAAGACGTCTTGAAGTGTCAGCCAGTTTTACTGAGCACAATACAGATCCATCAAGACCGGATATTGCCAGCTCCCAGTCCGTAATTTCGAGGATGCCCACGTTTTAGATATTCCTATGAGATAAAAATCATTAGTAGTACTTAGTTCAAGCAGCTCACCCATTTTATTCGGCAAACTAGTGGCGTTCATATATAAGCAGATTATGTGCTCACTTTGAAACGTATGAGCTTTGTCGTTCTGTTTATCCGCATGCGCCTTATATGAAGGGATAGCTAACCTACCTAAACAGGGTTTTCGAAGTTGATAGCCATTGTGTTTCTTAAATTTCCTTGATCTTAACAGTCCACAAGTGGACTAATCCGTTGCAATTGGCCTTTATACTTAGTCCTTGCATCGTATGACCTGTCCGGACGCATATGGATTCAAGTTGCCGACTGATGTCCGTTATCAGGAAATGCTTCGAGAGTGGCATCTGCCATCTAGAGGGATAAGATGGCTATCTTCATTAGCAAGGGTCTAGGGTCCCCGCACCACTTGTTGGATCACTATGTTCTTAGGCCTCGAGGACTGCCCTATAAACTTCCACTCTAGGAAGTCATAGTCTTAATAGTCATGGTCCGTGTTTCCTAGAACGCCTTGCACATCGATATTTCCACAGCAAAAGAACTGTTTTCGAAGTCCCTTTGGGATGTTTCCTATGGGATCGCTCTCAAAATATGGTATATCAGACAGTATTCTTACATCCCTTTCTGATTTCGGCAAGCGACTAGCCGTCAGAGAGTCCTCTACGTCTAAGCCATGTAACCACCATTAGCTGGACTTCGACAAGTTTGAGTTGCCTGTTTGACTCGTATCAGATCATCCTATACATTTTGTCTTGCAAACTGAGAGAAAGATCAGAGCTGTCTTTAAGGTTCATGATTATGAGAGAATCATCTCGAAACATGATCATTTTCGGGAACGTTGAGGTTGAGATTCTTTTTACTTCGCAGCCGGACTGCGTTTCGGATTCCCACACTCCTTGCTGACTAGTTGGAGTATCAAAGTGGTGGACTGCACAGCACAATCGCTAGCTGATTTCCCTACAAGACCTGGGCTGTTCAGTTTTTTTTCGGCGGAGACACTAGATCCCTTCTAAATCTGTTGATGGAAGTACATTGGCCTACAGAAATTTCAGGGACCACAGTTGCATTTAGAGAGCCACGTAAAGAGTAAACTTCCCGTTCGTAAATTCGGCGAGCCCCTGTTATTCATCTGAGGAACAACAGGGGACTGACTTTACTGCTCATATTTTCGCCTTGAAGTCAGAAAAATGGAAATTTACAAAGTTTATTTTCTGTGCCCTTATTTAAAAGTATTTTGATGTCATTAGCATTAAGTAGCGTTACAGACTTGATAATATGTAACACGTTTTTAACAGATAAAATAAACAACCTTGAACACTTTCTGAACCCCAGCATACTCCATTAAATGTTGATTTCCAAGAAAAAGCATTTACACAAATTTTTATTTTTACCCTCCAACCAACTGGAAAGTTATTTGCATACCTAATTAGGTATTAAGAATCTGAATGTTTTCAGACGCAGCAGTAACATACCGAGTTAAAGTAAACAACACGAACGTTTCCTTTAATTATCCAGCAATATATATTTGACCTTTCCTTTGATGGATAAATGTTTGTCATCCACAAGCAATCTTTCTATAAGAGTGTTGTGTACCGATTAATTTCAGGATAGTTCCAATGGCTTCTAACTCATTCATCCATAAATATCCTAACCCGAGCTAAATGAGGTGGTTACAAGTCGTTATTATTTAGGCATTTGGGCTGAGATATACTCAATGTTGTCACTTCAAATACGTGTGTTGTAGACTGGGATGAATTGTCAAGATGTACTAGCAGTAATGGTAGAAGGCACGACAACTCGAAAGGGTTGTAAAATATTTTCGTAGAGTAGCCTGCTATGTTTGGCTATAAGGTCGTGAGCATTTACACAAAGATAGGTTAATAAAAAGTTTTCGTGCTTTAAAAAGTACTTGAATGTCTGTTGAATTATGGTCTGGTCGGGTATAAGTGCATTCACCTTTGTTTATATATTAATGGAGTCAATCCCAAAACTGCAGATTTGTCATGATGTGACCACTTAATCTATAAAGTTTTACATATACTTCACGTCATTGTCTATACTGGTCCATTACATAATGATGATCAGCAGTCTAACATTAAACAATTCTGAAGAGCACATTTGGGCTGTAAGGAGAGCAATATATTTGGTGCGAAAACCAAGAGATTACACAGAGTGACTACGTTTGGATGGCCGAGTCATGATATCTTTATTACTGTACCCCGTTCCCAATTTTTAGACTTCTCTTTAGTTTTAGACGTTGAATTCAAATCTTTACAGTTATTGTATGTTCAGCTCCAAAGATCGTGTTGTTAGAAACTAATGGCACTGCACTACTCTAACACCACAACCAACGTGATGTTAGCTTGATACCAAATCAAGTGGGGTTGTCCAGTGCTGGACATCATCAAGATAATAACGGAAACCCTCCAGGTACAGATAAACCGAAAGACAAATAGAAAAGAAGACGTCAACAGTCGATCTAGAAATACATTTTATAACTTTAGACTTTTGCCGCCTCGAAGTCTCTTATATTCTAGAAGAGACACACCTAGTGACGATGCCGAATAAATCTATTGAATGCTTGATTAATTATTACTACCAGATAGTAGCTACAGGTAGTGACCATAAAAATTAGAGTAGAAATAAGAATACTAGAGAAACTACGACGCGTTAAGTTATGGGGTTTAAGTGGTGGTCGGTATTAATTCACTTATTGTGCTACTATAATAATAGGTACGGTTGAATATATATATATATATATATATATATATATATATATATATATATATATATATATATAATATGTCGAGGTCATATCATTGTTTGAATTGACTCGTCCTATCGTAGCAGTCAGTATCATGCCATTTATGAACCTTCGAAGGACACATTTGGTCAGAAGATGAAATAACATATTTAATATAAGGATCAAGAGATTACGTGGAGTGACCATGTCTGAATGATCTAGCTATACCATGTTCCCGTAATTACTTTACTGACGTTCTTCAAGTGTTAAACGTTTAATATAAGCCTTCCAAGTTATTGTATGTTCAGCTTCAGGGATTGTATTGATAAGAACTAGTTGGACTAGAAAATATTCACACTATAACATTGTACATCAACTGTTCTGAGTATAATGCAAACATCCACAATGAGACTATAAATCTTAGTCTTTTTTCAAGATGACACTAGATATTGAACAATTCAATATTTCATACACAAGTTCCCTTTATCATTTTGAAAAAAGCAAGAACAAAGATTCTAACAGAATAGCATGAATTCATTTTATTTTGTAGGTTTTCGTTATGTTCCAAAAAGTCTTAGAATAAGGCAAAGAAAGACTCTGAATAGTGCATTCACCAAACATCTCCTTGATATAAGATATTAGGTAGATACTTTGTAATCCTTTAGAGTGATGAGTAAGCAGCCAAACCCCAGTCTTTTGAATCCATTACCATCAGGCGTCAAAACCTGACTTATGTGTTCAAAAGGTGACAGTTGTTAATCTCTCCTTGCCTTGATAACAAATATTCTTTCTCTGCATCTTAAATTTCTCTTTAAAACTTTTTCTTGTATTTATTACATCATTGATTTTTATTTTTCAACTCAGCTCTACTCACTATATTCCTATCAATGTTTATTCATTACGTAATCAATTGCTTCTACCCCTTTTGAACTGTTGTCACAATTACTGCTGTAGAATATTCTTTCACATTAGGTATATATTTACAATATTCAGTCCATTAATTTCATTTACACCCATGGTATACTATACGAATATGTCTTCAATATAACTTCTAACCAAACCCTCTCATGTAAGCAATTTAGACCCATTATGTAATTATGATTTATAAATATTACAGGTTGTAAGCAGCTAATGACAACCTACGAACTAAAATGTTTATTCTTGCTTTTATTAATTCAATATTGATAAATTTTGACAATAAAGTGTATATTATTATATAACCAGGGTAATTGTTTTAACTTGAAATTTAAAGTTAACAAATATAAATTTCATTATTACAACAACAAAAAAAATAAAACAAAATAAAACAAAATAAAACAAAAAAAAAGTGATTATAATTCTATTTTTAGTACAGAAAATAAATTCAAATGAATAGATTACAAAGAATCATTCATTTAAAACTGATACAAAATCAATGGTACAAAAAGAAAGGATGATAAAAAAAAAAGAAGAAAAAAAAAATCAATTTCTCAGGAGTTATTATAGAAAATAAGAACTTTTGTTTAAATTTAATGAAATAGTTTCATAATATTTCATCGTCGAGTTAATGTAAGACAGTAAAGAGGAAAAACAAAAAAACAAATGTTAAAGTCAATCCAATGTTTCACTTAACAATCTGGTTTAAACTTATTTCTTTGAAAAAAAGCTTGGATCAGATTGTCAGGTGAGATTTTACAAATACAACATTCTTCTTCTTCTTCTTCTTTAATATCTTATCATAGTAACTATTCATCCCATCATGAAATGGATTCATTATATATAAAACTAAAATAAGTTCATTATTATGTAATCTATTCATTCAAAACATACATTTCATATAATTAATATAAATTAAAAACAAATAAAATTATACAACAGTTAATTATGATTGAATTCTTTTCAATATTTAATAAGAAAGTTGTTTTGGTTCAAGATACATACAATTTGTTAACAATAATTCTTGTCCTTGTTTTAAATTTTTTGAATTTTGATAAGTAACTTTTTGTATTTGATTATCATTATAATCAGTATTATCTATTATTATTTCATGTTGATTTATATGCTTTGTTTCTATAGTCATATCTAATGTATCATATTCTAATTGACTATATGGTTCATATATAGAAAGTTGTGATTTTTCTATTGGTATATCATTAGTTAATTGTGTTTTTTCTTGTAAAAAACAATCAGGAATTTCATCATAAATAGTTGATTGATATTTTTCAGATTGTATTGGTATATTGTATCTAGGTATAAATGTTAATTTAGTAATAGATCTTTGTGGTGTTGGTGGAGTTTGATTACATAGAATAGTTGATTCTTTATTTAAATTGGAAGTAGTTAATTTTGTAGTAAATAGTACTTTGGAACTACATAAAAATAATAAATAGACTATATATATATATATATATATATATATATATATATATATATATATATCAATTTCTTTATTCAATTTCTCTTTATAATCATTTATAACTTCACCCTTTTTCTCATTCACAACATATAATTATGAATCAATCTTAATGATCATCTTGAATATGTTGTTTCTTATATCCCTTTGAACTAAACTATATTGATAGTAATATATAAAAATTTCTATAATGATACTACTAATGTAAATTTAAGCTGTTTGTAGCTGATAATATGCCTTGTAAATTTATTGTTCGCGCTTTATTTAAATTTATCAAATAAACGAACTGTATGTATCGGTAATATATTAACTAGCAGTTGGGATCTATAAAGGTGAATTGAATTTATTCTGCTTGATAAACTTAAGCTAAATCATCCTAGTATAAGACTCCTCAATAATATTCTAGCTTAGATAAACTCATAAATTCAACTATTAAAATGATTATAATCTCCATTCTAAAAATTTAAACAAAACAAAAATCTTTCTACTTAGTCGTAGGATGTCGGCTCAGTGGTCCAGTAGGTTAAGCGTTCGCGTGCGTGACTGAAGGCCATGAGTTCGAATCCCGCGAGCGGGATCGTGAATGCGTATTGCTGAGGAGTCCCACGATAGGACGAAACGGCCGTCCAGTGGGTCCAGGTTTTCAATGGTGGTCTAACATCAATCGGTTCATCATCTCAATCAAAAACTTGACAATCTCCACAACACCTAAGTTGATAGCTGTATATAAGTTATTGAATTTAATTATTCCAAATTCTTGACATACACGGAACGTTTTTTTTAAAAAAGAAATACAATGAGACTATAATTTATGGAAGACCTTTGAACGACGCCAGACTAACCTTGAAAGTGTTCACTTAATAACCAGGACCAAATATGTAAGTTATAAACCTGTATGACAAATCAAAATTATCATTTACAGTGGAAAGTTTAAAGTCAGAAATTAGATTTAGGATTTTCATCATGAACTGACATCAACAATAATGTCAAAACTCTATTTATCTAAATGAATGAGTGAATTTCGTGTTGAAATCCGAGATTTGTTATCTTATACCTGATTGATTCGTTCAACAAATTATAGTCTCACCAAAAAACAAGCAAACAAATGGATTATTCATTAGAAAACAGTAAATTATATAGAAAAATGTAATTGTAATTTAAAGCAATTAGTCCCTTTTTATAAATTTCGATAGAACAATGAGAAGACGGAATCGATCTGAAAAATGTAATGTATTTCCGTTACACATTTCGAACAATCTGGTCATACATATACTTATCAGGGCATTTTATATGACAATTACACGAAAGTTCAAGTACAAAAAAAAGTAACATAGGGGAGAGAAAGCATAAGAAATTGTCGCGTTATCCTAGGCCATAGAATAACTTAAGGATTACCAAGATAAATTCAAGGTTACGACAAATTGTTTTTGTACACATAAGGGAGGCTTAAATTTACGAATAGCCAAGGCTTCAATAAACTTAAGAATTCATCCTTTCCAATTTCTACACAACGTTTTAAAAGCTGTATCAATGTCAATTTTGTGCCCCGTTTCAATTAGATGTATCGCTACCAATGAACCTGGTTTTCTACCTCCCACGTTGATCGGATCATTTGACACATATTGATTTTGAACTTTCATGTAATTTTCATATGAAATGCCCTGACAAGTATATGTACGACCAGATTGTTAGAAATGTATAACTCAAATACATCACTAATCTTCAGATCAATTCCGTCTTCTCATTGTTCTATCGTCATTGTAATTGTAATTTAAGTTAATAACTATGTAATATTCAATAAGAAACATGTAAATAGTTTATATTATGTAATAATATCTATTATCAAATGATTATGATTAGTATATTTAAATTAGTACACACCATTCATAATACACCTATTTTTTTATTATTACAAAAAACAAACAGTATTATTATTATTATGATCATTTCTCTAAAATGAACAGGTATATATATATATATATATATACTTATAAATGTATTATAGATTGTATTTGTAAAATATTGTATACTTCACCATTTCTGTTTACAGTTGATTTGTTCGTTATTCTAAAATTATAGACAAGTATACTGCAAACTTGTATAGATATAGATATATATGTATAATATACATTCACTTCTGATCAATACTCTTATATAATATAAATAAACAATTATTTTATTTTATTTTTTTTATTTTTGAAAAATATTATTCATTAAATTCATTCAATATATCTCAATCATAGTCAAGTTTATTTATTAAATTTTAATTAAGGTCTGACTAAAATATAATCTTAATGCCATGGAGATAATTACACCCCCCCACACACACACAAAGTAAACACGTTGTATGTATGATAGGAATGAAATAAATTACATGAAACTGGATGATCACTTTAAGACATTTATATTCAGTTTCAAGTTAGCAAACTCTGTATGCATCCCGTCTAGGGCTACTGCCGTTCTCAAGCTCGGATAAAGCAAGAGAATTGGGCATGTGGTTAGCCACACTATCCCGTAGAAAATTAACTCGCTAAAAAAACGCTAACCAGAGAAAAATTATTTAAACTATTTAAACTCTACCCTGGGAGTCAGAAGGCATTCATTTAGAAGAGTTATGATGCCTCATTTTGAAAGCCGAGTTCTTTTGGAAGTCACGAGGCTGATGTTCCTTTTGATAATCAGAGCAACCATTTATTTAGGTACGTGGAATTAGATGGTGGTTGGAGGTAGTCGACAGGAAACCCTGGACTCGGGTTTCGTGCTACTTGGCATTCGTCAGCAAGGTGTACCTGTAATCTTTGAGGGAACTGTGTCTCTGGCGGATTTGATCCCGTGTCACCCAGCTTCACATTCAGAGACGTAACCAGGTCCAAAATTCCCTTTTGAATACCTTCAACCACCATCTAATCTCACAATAGTGCCCGCAGTGTCGAGTCACCTAGACTGGTGGCAACATTGCAACATGGTCGGTAGCATTCGATCTGCACTAATAATAAGGACTAGACACGCATGACATTGGTCACCACCCAATGATCAATCAATTGAGGTACGTGGAATGCTTGTACAATGTAGGAGACTGGGAGAGTCATTCAAATAGCTTCAGAAATTGCTTCAAATTAGCAACTCGATATATTCATGATTGAAGGGATTAAACAGTGTAGAACTATAGATAATAGTTGACTGATTGAATTTATTATGCATTAAATTCGAAGTAAAAGTAAATGTATAAGTATATCACAATTATTTTATTATTTTCATCTGATTTGGTTTCGAAAGGATAGATTTTTACAGTGAAAGTATTTTGCAAAATCTCGAAAAATCTTTGAACAACATCTGGATTTAATTGATTGTGCTTTACATTGTTGCTAAGAAATTTAATATTTTTGTGAAGAAAAAAACATTCCAAAATTGTTATAGACCTTCTGAGAACGTAATTGAGTCTAATGCTATTTATATAGGCATAAGAAACTAAGATGGATGGTGACTTGGCATACGCTAAACATTACTGAACTACTGCAGTTTACTGACGTTCAAAATAATAAATCGATTCATTTGGTTTTTATTTTAGAACCTTTACCTGAGATTGCTAACCCAGTAGCTTCAATATTCGTTTAATGGTTTAAATCAATTTCGGAGAGAATATATTTAAATCTTTCCCTCTTCATCTTCAGTATATATTTGGAGTATAGCTAAGTGAGCAACTAAGAAAAGAATACAGGTTAGTGTACTTGATTTTTGGTAGCCTGAGATACATCACTTTGTTCCTGTGGTTAATTAAAACATTAAAGAGCAATAGTTTGATATAAAAGTTGAAATTTGACTTTAGCCTTTTTGATTTTGTGATATCCCAAAAATGCAATCACTTAAGAAGTATTGATAAGAACTCGTTGTGTAAATACTTTGTTTTACTAAGTAAAGACTTCGTCAAAAATATTCTGATTTCAGTGATTTAATTTTTTTGTATTGTAGTAACTAATGCTCAAAACTTCACCTTAGTATTAGAAACCATCATCAGGGTGATCTTCATGTGCAACGAAACTCCTGACTTTACTGAGATTTACTAGACTTCAAATCCTGACAATCTGAGGTAAAAAAGCTCTCTTCAGGAAAGAGTAGGTTGATAGATGACTCATTGCTCTTATCGTACTAGATTAATCTATCATTTTATGGTTGACCAATTATTCATACCCTCTCATTGATTTTAGGGCTAAGTTGGTCTTCATATTTCTATGTATTTTCTTTATGACCTGGAACAGATGCTTATGAAAGTCCCCTTATTTATTGTCCTTACACTTTCAAAGTCGAAGTAATTGACAGGTCGAGTGACAATCTACAACTAGACAACAATAAAGTAAACACACATGAATACAGCGATTACACTGCCAGATATGAAGTTATTCACATTATAAAGTTCGTTTCATAGATAACATTGAATCTGCTCCGTTGATTCTAGAATGGTTATTATTTAGTCATTGTATGAATAACTGTTTAGAAACTTTTCATTATTCATAAAATTTACTATTTTATCTTTTTTCTTGTTATTTAAGCTTTATTATTTGTCAGTTGGTTAAGGAATGGATGATGAAGCTAAGAAGATAATTTTTTACTGAAAGTGTTTTCATTCACTGATTTGTTTGTCATAAGCCTTCAAAGCATTTCAGTAAACTTTAATTCTCAGCTATTGTATGTCGACTATTTCTTCTGTATTTCTCATTTTAAACTGTTAATAATACAATTGGAAATCAATGAGAGGTATATAAATGTATATGGAAAAATCACTAGCAATTCAATGTCTATTTTTAAAAAAATCAAGAAAATATTTACGAAGTAACAAAATATTTTACCCAAATGTTGTAACCATGTTAGTTCCCGTTTAACAAATAAGTATGTATAGCGTAAATGAAACTTAAACTTTAGAAGTCCTCATTAATAGTTGAATAATAGCATCGACTTACATTATAGGTTCACGATTCCAACCCATTCTATGTAAACCACATAAACGTTTTCGTCTCCAACAAATATAATATATTATTCCACATGAAATAACACATAGAACAATAAATACGATGATAAGCACATATATCCAACTATTATTTGTTTTTTCTATTACCTAAGATGATAAAGATATTTCAGAAAAAAATATGCGAGCGAAAAAGTTATCAGAATTGAGGATGTAAGTTTTAGACTTTGTACAAAATTCAACTATCGTTTATAACGAACAGAAGAAACATATTTCTATATACCTTAAAACATTTAAAATGATTGTGGACAATTACATTTTGCCGTAACTGAATAATAATGATGATATTGAACAATATAAAATGTTAAGTTCTGTCTCTAGGTAGCACATAAAAGATAAATAAACACTATCTTTAAATTCCGACCCTCAACACAATCATAGAACAAATCTGAACTTGATAGTACTATACATGTTATAGACAAACTAATTAGATAACACCTCTTTCATCTTCTCCCCCAAATTTATCCATCCATTTGTCCATACAGAATTTTTCATTATAGCTGATGTCAGTTATTGATAAAAACTCGAAACCTGACCTCTTAATCCATACTCCGAATACCTAACTTTAATCTATTGGGAAAATCTATTAGGGTCCTCACAAGGGTCTAAGAGGTTAGTTTCTAGTTAAGTTTACGTCTGTTACTCCTCGTGAAAGGGCATAGGCCGCCCACCAACACACTCCATCCAACTCTGTCCAAAGCAATCCTTTCCAGCTCTTTCCAGTTCGTATTCATCCTTTTCATATCTGCTTCTATTTCCCGACGTGATGCGTCCTTTGATCTTTCTCTCTTCCGCTTTCCTTCAGGATTCCACGTCAGGGCTTGCCTCGTTATGCAGTTTGATGATTTGCGTAACGTATGTCTTATCCATTCCCATTGTCATTTCCTAATCTTCTCTTTACTTGGAAACTGGTTTGTTCTCTTCCACAGTAGGCTGTTGCTGATGGTATCTGACCAATGGATGTTGATTATCTTGTGTAAACAGCTATTTATAAATACTTGTACCTTCTTGATGGTGGTTGTTGTAGTTCACCATGTTTCAGCTCCGTACAGTAGAACTGTCTTGACGTTGGTATTAAAGATTGTGACTTTGATATTGGTTGAAAGTTGTTTTGAGTTCCATATGTTCTTCAATTGTAGGAATGCGGCCTTTTCTTTTTCAATCTCTGTCTTTACGTCGACATCTGGTCCTCTTTGTTCATCGATGATGCTTCCCAGGTACGTGACGAATTCCACATCTTCCAGAGTTTCGTCATCAAGTGAAGGCCGAGTTCCTTTGAGAGGTCAGATAATTCGTATTTATAACGACGAATTTATGTGTAATATTTTACAATTTAAAAGCAGACTAACATGCAAAATACATGAATAGATTCAATAGATATGTAAAATTTATTTACAATTAGAAATAGTATTGTTGTTTGTTTTCCATAAATTATTGTCTTTTCAAAGATTGTTTACTGGTTGTCTATAAACCGGTTAAAAGGTTGTCGCTGTTTGTTATTTTTTCAAGTTCGTCCTTAAACTATACTTTCACGAGAAAAATTAAAAATAGTTGAAATCATGAGTCAATTGAAGCTAGACCACCATGGATTGGTTAAAGTTAGACGTTAAATCGTTGGATGCTGGACAACTCAGTGGTCTAATGGTTAAGCGCTGGCAAGCGAGACTGTTAGGTCCTGGGTTCGAATAACAAGTGGGCGGGATCGTGGATGCGCACTGCTGAGGAGTACCACACTAGAACGAAACGGCCGTTCAGTGCTTCCACGTTTTCCATGGTGGTCTAGATTCAATTGACTCATGATTTCAACTATTGAAACTACTAAAATCTCTATAAAACCCCTTCTGATAAAAATTTAAAGTTTATATTTCGTAAGGATTTAAGAATAGTAGTATAAAACTAATTATTGATAAGATTTTTAGCTAAAAGATGTTATGGTTAACGTAACTGATATTCAATAATACATGCTTTTAACTTCTTTTATTCATTTTGGATAACAGGAATTAAAGTATAAATTAGATAGATAACTTAAAGGTGTTTCAATAGACCTTTATAAAGTCTAAATAAATAAAGATAACAAGTGGTTTATTTATAATCTAACATAAATCTGTCTTATAATCAGTAAACCGTCTTCAATTTCATAATTTTTCAGTTAGATTATTATAGTTTTGATTTTACAAACATACTACACAGATTCAATGAGAAGATATCTATTCAATTTAACTATATCTCTGGAAAATAACCTTGATTTACTAAAGTCCTTTAAGTAGATAAGTTTGCTAGTTGACTCAGACTACTAGTATAACAGTTTTCTTGTAAGTATATTGTACACAAAGGGGAAAGCAAGATTTTCCGATGCAACACAGCATGCACCAATCCAATCATAATTGACGGAGAAGATTTGGAAAATGTAAAAACCTTTACATATTTGAGCAGCATCATTGGTGAACACGGTGTATCTGATGCAGATGTGAAGGCACGGATCAACAAAGCAAGAGCAGCATATTTACAACTAAAGAACATCTGCAACTCAAAACAACTGTCTGTCAACCAACACCAAAGTCACAATTTTCAATACAAATGTCAAGACAGTTCTACTGTATAGGGTGGAAAATCGGAGAACTACGAAAGCCATCATCAACAAGATATGTGTTTATTAACAGTTTTTTACGCAAAATAATTTGGATCCGTTGGCCAGATACTATCAGCAACAACCAACTGTGAAAGGGAACAAACTAGATTACAGCGAAGCGAGAAATCAGGAAGAAGTGCTGAAAGTGGATAGGACACATATTGACATATTGAGGAAAGCACCGAACTGCGTCACAAGGCAAGCCCTCACATGGAATCCTTAAGGTTAAAGGAGAAAAGGAAGACCAACGAACACATTACGCCGAGAAATGGAGATAGACATGAGAAAAATGAACAAGAATTGGAGTGAACTAGAAAAAAACGCCCAAAACAGAGTGTGTTGGAGAATGCTGGCCGGCGGCCAATACTCCATTGGGAGTAACAGGAGTAAGTAAGTAGGTAAGTACATTGTTTTCTATTCCACTTATATACTATACCAAATAGTATGCGATTATTTGAGTAAGTAATAATCAAGTAATAATCCAATATTTTCCAATGAGTCTAACAATATCAATGTTAGGGAACAATGAAAGCAAACTGCTTATATGATGAAAATTCGATAATATATCAGTTAGATATGATATATAATAGTTCCATTTACTAATATTTTCCTAACAAAATCTATATTCACCTTTTAGTGCATTTGAGTATAGACATAGTATTAGTTTTATAGGTATAAAATATCTGTCATATATTTTTCATTGTTATACTCTATGATACAAATTTATTGCTAAATATAGCAGAAAACGTGACATAAATAAAACACAAAATGTAAATTATAAAAAAGTTAAACTAAGAAATTGATATAATGTTCAGATGAAAGTACAATATTTTACCAATGGCGAAATCCGACTCACAGGTCCGCGTCGTGCCTCCTGGATAGTGAGACAAATGACTCATGAACTAACGTAAGCGGTAACCCGGGTGGTAGAGATCGGGCTAATCACCCACTCTTACCGATACCCACCAACCAATTACGAAATCCACAAAGAAACATAACACAATTACATTTGGAATGGAAAACGACAAACTAAGTACTCAAAAAAGATTATGAATTCATCAGTTTATAAGTAAATGGTATATTTTAAAATTCTAGTACTTCTTTTTTATCTAATAAATCTTTATGATTGTTTCAACACAATATAAACAGTAAGCATTACTCTATGATACAAAGTAACTTCAAAATGTACAATCTTCATTAACCAATTAACTTTATGATAATCTTTTACTTACTAGCCATAATTTTTTTAAAACAATCCTCAGGAACTTTATTGCCGAATTATGATTGGTAAAGTTCTACTTTATTAAACATAAGATAGCTATCATTTTGATAGAGTTTTGTTGTCTGAGGTGAATGGTTTGATCCAGTTCAATGAACGAAACTCGATCAAAATCATTCACCTGAGAAATAAATATTTTCCACCATTTCACAGCTATCATTTGATGACGTTATATAATGATTATACTATATCGCGAATCATAAAATATTCATTTTTGACTCCCTAGTTTAAAGTTTTCAAACTTTCCATTCTGTAATGTGGTGGTAAGTTTCCACCATCGAGAAGTCTTAAGTGAGGATTATGCACCTGATTTTCAATGGTTCTCAAGCTGATATCAATACTTGAAGTAAACTAACTAGAAATCAGTAAAAAAATGGTATTACTCTTGCAAGATCCATATAGGAGTTTAAGATAAAATCCAATTTCATTTAAATCTCAATCTGATAGAAGCTAGAAAACTATTGAAAACTGGAGGAACTGGATAGCCGTTTCGGCTCAGTACAGAACTCCTCAGCAGCACGAATCCACGACCATACAAACAAAGGTTCTGGGATCGGTTCCCGGTCGCAGGGCCGTAGCTGATTATTGCTGAGGAGTTCCATAATGGACCGTAACGGCCATCTACTGCCTGCACTTTCCGATAGTTTTCTAACTTAGATCGTGATCTCAATGAAATTCAACAATCTCTGCAATCACGTACTGACAATAAAATTAAACGAGTTCAAAATAAACATTACTTTTTTTACTATTAAGTCATCATTGTTGTTTTCTAATGAAACAGTTGATAAATTTATTCTTTTAAAATTTATAAAGTCAGGTAAACCATTTGAATTAACCATGGGTTTATAATGATCAGGCCATAAAGTTGGCGGTGTATTACAACGTAGACCAGTCCACTGATTTTGACAAAAACAACGAAAATTTCCATAGAGATTTTCACACATTGAATTTACACTACAAGATGATGTTATATGGTGGTTGATATTAATACTTTTGTTGCTACCATTATTATTCGGTTTCAATGAACACTCATCTATATCCAATTCACACCTGTTAATAGTATAAAAATACCATAAGTATTATACGGATTATCAAGAAACAGAAAGAGAAACAGAAAGACGGAAATATGAAAAATAATTGCGATTGTAGGAGGTGTGTGAAAATTGTTGAACGCCACAGTTTAAATCATAGAGTGATCTGATTTAAACAACCAACTAAACCAGAAAGCATTGAGCAACTTCCTCGTCCTAGCATGTAAGTCCTCAGTAGTGTGGATCTACGACCCCATCAGAGGTCCAACCCAGGACCTTCGGGATTCGTAGTAATCGTGTAACATTTAGACCACCGATCCAGTAGCTCATGGTTTACATCGCTACCATCAATTGATTGGTGACACTCTGCAACCATCTCCTGTGGAATTAGTGGGTAAATGTTTCAATTTCAAAATATTTGGGCACCTTAGATTACGGTTTGTCACTAGAACTCTGAAAATTGCCTCTACAAATTAGTCACCGGTAAGCACATGATATCGTAACAACCTATCATGAGTATGTCAGGCGAGCTTAAGTAATATAGACGATAATATTCCTGAGGGTTTTCTAAATTGATGTTAGGCAGTTGAAAGCAGTCGTTAAGGAACCTTTAATCTAGAATTGAGATAGTTGTCACTCTTCACCAGGCATTGTCGACAAGTTTGATGGACTTGATGTTTTTCACGAGACACACTTTTTTAATTCGCTGCTGTTGCCAAAACCGCTGCCATTAAGCCTTTTAGAATACAACTGGTCTTGTCTAGAATTAGGATATTTACACCTACTGATCACTGAGTAATTACCAATGTTGTGTTTATCTAGTCTGGAGTGCTGGTCCAGTTCCATGGATTGAGTTGCACTCTTGACTCCAAACTAAAGGAGTTGAAAAAGTGTGATACCTTCCATTTGACGTCATCTGATTAAGGACACTAACAGGAAGCCCTGGAACTAATCAATATATACTATCAAGGTGGATATGGGGTCTTTTTAAATTTGCGAACCAGTACTTAAGCTGGCTAAATTTGATAGTATTTTTGGATATCGCATTATTGCGATTTATTCGTGAGATTGAGTCTATCAGATGCTGTTGACATTTCAGGCTTTTTGAATGAATACGATTAAATATACTTGTATTTGTAGTTTGAAATTAGCTTTACTGTCAAGCTATATTCAAAAACTATAATCCTTAATGACAGCTTCACGTTGCACGTCATAATGTCGACTGTGGTTAAAATAGTTCTTAGTGTTTGGACTCATGAAAAGTATTCATTTATTTGAATACATAAATATTGGTACAAAGGGGCGCCATACAAGTCACTTGATTTGTATGTGGGTTGTGACATTGCCTGAGTGCCCGGACTGAAGCAGGTGATTTTCTTAGGGGGCCGCACACTGAGCCGTCGATCTAAAGGTTTGATCCACAAGGCAGTGGAGCGACATCACGAGATGCAGTCCTATGGCAGCTAGCAACCAACGATTGATTTATACTCCATTTGTTCCCTAAGGATACTGGGACCAAAGTGCATCATCGGTTTAGAATCAGGGTTTTCCCACTTCCTTAGGTGGATCTTCCATATCTATCAATCCTGTTAAAGCGCTGAATATTCGCTTTTTTCCTCTCAATTTCGTAAACAACACCACTGGTGCGAGAAGGCAGTGAGTAGAACTTCCATGAAAGTTGCTGTTTCCGCGTGGCCATGTGGGAGCATTTTGAGAGGAAGGGCTGGCTCTCCCTACCCTCGGCTAGACTCATGGTAAAGGAATTAGTCTTGCGAAATAAAAATTAAACCTTTAATGTTAATACGGCAGACATCTTTAAAACATGCTTCGTCATATATGAAACCACCTATTTTGTTCCAAACAGCATCTTGGATAGTGTGTCTAAAGGATTAGAAAGATTTACACGGGTCTAGCTTTTGAAGAAAACTTATCAAAATTCTAATTCCATAATTGATATGCAACCTGTTGGAATTAGTGTTTGAATTCAATATATTATTAATATTATAATAAGTAAATATTATAAGAATATTTTTATACATTAAATTGTAATCAGTCTGGATTACCATTTTCCTGTAAACCCAGGTATGCAAACACAGTATGGAATTGGATTGGATAGACTCCTGTTTTCTTCATCAAAATACTTTAGTAAACAAAATCCATTTTGACAAAAATCTTGTGATGGACTGCATTGATTTGGGGGTTCTGAACAATGTGGTCCTAAAAAGAAGCGATGAAAAATTTTCGAACTTAACTATTTCCGGCAATCCATTATCGTGATCATCCACTATCTATCTGTTACACTAAGAAACAAACTATATGTTCAACGACGTTTATTATGAACGAAGCAATTTGTGTATTATAAAAATTGACGAACGGAACCTAAAACATAACACGCTTGTGGATAATAAAACAATGTGATAATCGAATGTTTCACGAAAGTGAAGTTAAGAGCAGTAAAATGAAAAAGAGATAAGTGAGAAAACAAACATGTAAGACAATGTATTGATGTAAATGTACCACTTTGCCATATTACATAATTGTCTTGGTTGTTGATGTCTCGTTTCCTATAGATAACAACTAGAAAACGTATGGTTATTTACCAGGTTATAACCAAATACGGATAAAACACAGGTGACTATTGTATCTTGACATGAATATAAGAAGACTTATCTCATTGGATGTGGACGTGGCAAACGACAGTAATTGACCAGGAATAAAAAAGTCTATGGTTTCACCAGATGAAAATTTATTTCAGGTAAATATGTATGAGGCTTAGATATTCATCAATATCAGACGAACAATTTATCGACATTATTCTTTTTTTTATTAAACTTCAAAAGCATATAACCACACATGCTAACTTATTTTACCCTGGCATAGTTATAGAAAATCCTTGAAATATGCTGTTACACTTTGTAAGTTTAAGAAGACTGTACAATAAAAAATAATTTGTTTTTTTCCATTCAACATTAACCTTGTCACCATCTGACTCTCTAATCAAATCTCTTCGTGACAAATCAAGCAAGACTTATCCAACATCTGTTTTAAAATATGTATGAAACTGATTTGTTCTATAGACCTCAAGAAATTAATGGTTAACTGACTGACCATTTCGACTTAATGCCTACAATTTTAATGGACAATAAAATTAGTCCTTGTAAACAAACAAATAATGTGTTCAAATTTGTTCTGTTCGTAATTTAATTAGGTGGAATATTTTAAGAATAAATTATGTCTAAGAATATAAAGACCGTATACTCCTAAGACGCTGCACTGCTTTTAGTATAATTAATCATTATCAAAGAAAAAACTATGCATTATAATCTGTTATATTTTAAGTTTTAAGACATTAAAACTTTATGATGAGAAAATTGGAGAGAAAATTTGCTGAATTAACTACAAAAAAGCAATACAAATAGCCAAGTATAGACATTTAACCACGTAAATTAGTATACTGAAGCAGTAAAACCTTTTGAACTATTAAAACAGCTCATTATTTATGGTCATAAATTTTAGGAGTGCTTTTATTAGAATTTGAAAACATACCTGTAAAATTATGTCTACAGGCGCAAGTGTATCCAACATGAGTATTAGTACACGTTCCCATAGGACCACACGGTGTTAATATACCACAGTGATCAATTTTGTTACATTCATCACCAAACCACCCTAGATTTTTGAATTAGAAAAAAAGTGAAAAAAATACGGCTGACTAAATCTTGCCAATTAATGACCTTTTTTAACCTCAACTTTACTTAATAGTTTTATTAGTGAAATCATAACAATCAAACAAACATATATAATCTTAGCTACACCTGTTCCCACAGGTTGTTAGTACCTTGTTGACTATGGATCAAACTTTGGGGTTAAATATGCCTTATTTTTGATAGAATATAACTTGTCATTAACATAAGTATTTGTGATTTATACGCCAACAGTTCATGAAAATATCTACAAATGAAAGTATGGAACATGATTGTAGCTTATAAAAACCACATTTCACCAAAATCCATTTAGAGACCAGTTTGTTTATTTTTGAGCATGACATAGTAAACGCATACAGCGCATCTGCGTTCATACAACATTCGAACCGGACAATTAACTATAAAGCATAGCTAGTTGTTTTGTTGTAAGATGAAAATTTTCTTTTCTGGGTGGCATCTGTTAACAAAAACCGAAAACAAACGGAGGAAGTATCACTAACAGTATACGCCTTGGATAAAGTAGGAAGTTAAAATTAAAAATAATACCAACGTTTTTGAGCAACTCCTAAGGTTGATTTCATCTATGAATAAAATTATGAAGAGATGAGATATTTTTAAACTTAAGGGTCCAGTTTTATCAAATAATATAAATATAAGGAGATTATGTCGGATATTCAGAGATAAGCTACGTGAAGACTTGAATGTGTGTTGCCTATTAAACCTTATTAATATCTAGCTGTTCGGTTGTTTAAGCTCAAGTCACTTCAGAGATATTAAAGGTTTAAGAAGCTCTTGGAGGTTTAACATGATTAAAATTGATTTCAAAAGCCTTAATAGAATCAAAAATGTTCGTTGATATATTAAGAGCTCCTAAAATCAGACTTGTACTGATACTAATATCTAAATAAACTAATAATCCGTTTGCAATGCCTTGAAGAGTTGGTAGAATGATGATCCGAGAATATTTAGGATCTGCCATAAAATTGTTGACCCTCAAAAGTTCTTACAGACACAGTTTTGGGGTGAAACTCATAAAGGCATCAAAAAAATTTTAATTCAGAATAACTTTAAGGTGGTTAGCAACGTTTCCTCAAAGGTAATACATTGTCATGGGCAAACATCCTTTTAGGTAAGCCTGCTCAAGATACATGATTTATTAATAAATCAAAACCAAAAACAGAATATGCTGTGACCTTTTGGGGTTAAAAATCTACTGAAAATTTAGCCCAACTAATATTGAATGGAAGCGATTTGAATGTCTTTAATAAAATGTTTCACACTGATCGTTTCTGAGGAGAGCATTTAAACTAACAACCCCATTATGGTATTTATGAAATTTCTTCACATAGATGATCTTACCTGGAATACAAACCTTTGCACCTGTTGAGATATCACAACCATAGTGCCTTACTATCCTTTGTGGGACGCAGTTGACGCTACAATCACCTCCATAGCTGCCACGATTACAAACAGCCCAAACTGCTACATACATATTTATATATCCTTGTGTTACATTTCGAGATATTTTATGATGACGGTGAGAAGAAAAGAGTGATGAACCACCAGTTTCAAATGGATACACAGTATACGTAAATGAGTTATCTTCAAATGTTGTCAAATGGTCATCTAAATCAGAAAAAGAATAATCTGCATCCCAAACTTCGATCTTCACGTACAATTTAGACTGTAAATTGTTTAATCAAAATATATGCATGTTACCGGAAGTTTATCTACTATTCTGGACAGCGGGTTTGGTATATAGTCTATTAAATCACCAAAAGAGATAGAATTCTGGTTCAATAAAGAAGTTTTCGGTGTTCTCATATCTAAAATGTTGCACCCACTGTTTGATTGTAAGTAAACTACATAGACACAAATTACCCCAATTTTTGATCGCCTATGCAAAGTTTAAAGTACAAATCACAGTAATCTGGTCTTGAGAAAGAGTTGCAATGTCCACTTGACGAACTCACTGTAATGTTAAGGAACTTTAAAAATAGTGTTGCATATCCGTCTACTTGCGGGGTATTTTCGAAGTCTAAAATTGGGTTTAAAGTTAAAAACTTGCTTACTAAGTGACAATAAAATAATTAAAGACACCAAATGTTCAATATCCATAAACTAGCGATATCATATAACAATTTGCAAACCTACCGCTTCTATAGATTGTTTCTATTAGTTGGTATAAACGGATATGTTTAATTCCACTAGTAGGACATGGATAATATTTTTTTACCGACCGACGAGAGCACAATTTACATAATCTCGGACCGCCTTTCCTTTTCATTTATTAGATTGGTACTGCTAATAAGCCTATGGATTCATCTCAATCGAATTTATCTATCTACACTTGTTTTCTGCTAACAAGCCACTGTAACGCACCTGCAGTAGCAATAAGATCCGCAAAGTAACCATTTTATTAAGTTCTTGCTGGTGATTGACTTCGTGAGTGCGTGGGGGTTCGTACACTTTTTATCCCGTTACTCATCATATGTTTGCAATTTATTTTTGTGGGCTTATAAATATTGATTAACTCTTGGTTAGATGGAGAATTGGCTTACCAGTCATCTCCACTGCTCGTTGTTTCTCTTCTCTCTGTTCCGTTCGCTTCGTATACAAATATATGTATCCAAAAGTCCATTCTCGTTATTTGACTTATTTAATTCCGTTATTAACTAACTTGATTCAAGTCAAGGATTATAAACAAGGATAAGCTGCATATATATTTCCACAACGATCATTCATACGATATATTTGGAGTCAGATCTTGGGCCACTAAACTAGCGTCCGCAGACTGACAATTAGTTCTACATCTCTATTAGTGTTTAATGTCGTTGGATTTGTCGCTATGTTACAGTAGTCCTGGATGTTTGAACAAGGAGTTTGAGGTTGGTCTGAAGTGCTGGTGTTTGGAAAATTAATATATATATATGTATTATGTGTAGCGACATTTCTCACCCTTTTATTCAGTGCTATTAATGAAAAAAACGACAGTCTTTGATCACGTATGATATTTCCAGCATTACCTGAGGGAGTTTGAAATGAATACGTTCACTGGTACGGAATTCCTACATTGTATTAGAAAAAGCTCTAATCCTGTAATTCATTCACACATGCCTACGGAGACATTTTGTTATAAGGATATACAAGAAAAAAACAAACGGCATGTGATTATAGAGTGATTTTTCCTCCTCAAAAAACATATCACAAACACATGGCTACCTTTGCATTGCAGAATCACCAACTAGTATACAAAAATTACGAAAAATGAACCTGAAAACGTGAGTTATTTAGAAGCTATCCTATTCACGAATACCATACCGAGACCAACCCAAACAATTTCAGTAACACTTATTACTCTGCAAGACATATTTTTAAACGACAAACAAAAACTTGATGTACGTTAATTGGAATACATTAATCGCTTAACGACGCCATTTACCCTACTACAGCTAATTAGAACATGGTAACATTTCGCTTTTCTTTATCTTTATGTTCTGCCGGCACCTTAGATCAATTTCTGCTATATTCTACTCTACTTATCTTTGCGATTTATTCCTCTGGCGTACTCATATAAGGTTGAGGATTTATTAGACGGTTTTCACTGTATTTCGAATCGCTCATACTAATATGTTATTTTATCGTCTAGACAGTCACGACACAAATGTCTGTTGTTTTTCTTTACTCTTATTAATTCGCTTATAATCTCATGCCAACAATTCCTTCTTTGTTCGCGTCTTTACAGTTTTAATATACTCTTTTAACATAAGTGTGACGCTTTTGTATAATGCACTCAATTCCTCACACGACAATAAACTGTATTAGATATATTACAATTTTTCCGCTACATATAGTTAGCGTTAACCAAATAGCTCTTCTGTATTGCTTTCGAAGTTGGATGTTTTTTTCAAATAAATGTGCTATTTTATACAAGGGGCTTTGTAGTTGCTGGTACTATGTCAAATCCACATCGGTTGTTCTAGCTTCTGTACGGAACAATTTATTTCGTATCCTCAAGCCTCAATTTGACCATACCAATTATTCGCTTTTCGAACTTGACTATTTTTGTATGTGATTGCGAGTGTGTTAACCACTTGCCTAATTTGCAAGAAACCTCACCTCTTAAGGCAAGTGTCTTTTCGATTTCTTCCACGACAATCCGAACCGTTCTGAACCACTGGAGGCAATTAATCACTACCTTGGTTCAGTTATGGTGTTTACTAACAGTTGGCTGTGTAAAATACTTCAGATCCGTTGGCTAGATACTATAAACAACAACCTACTGCGGGAGAGAACAAACCAGATTCCGGCGGAGGACGAAATCAGGAAGAAGTGCAGGAAGAAGTGCAGGAAGTGGATAGGACACATGTTGAGGAAAGCACTGAATTGCGTCATAAGACAAGCGCTCACATGGAATCTTTAAGGTTAAAGAAGAAAAGAAAGACCAACGGACACATTACGCCGAGAAATGGAGATAGACATGAGAAAAATGAACAAGATTTGGATGAAACTGGAAACAAAGGAGCAGGACAGAATGGGTTGGAGAGTACTGGTCGGCGGCCTATGCTCCATTGGGAGTAACAAGCGTAAGTAAGTAAGTAAGTTGGTTCATTTATATTCGTTACAGAGCTAGTGGTAAAAGAGGGCAAAATGAAGTGATTAACTTTACAATATAAAACGTGTTTTCTAGGTTCATCGTCACAGTTTCCGCAGTGAGATAGAAGAGGTACCTTCGTTCCGTCTTAAAAAATTTTTGAAGCTTGAAGACATTGAATGTGTGTTTGCCTTGGTCAACAGTCACTGCGCATTTCAAGGTTCTAATGAGTCATGGCAACCGCGATGCTGTATAGAAGATGTGTTAATTGGTAAGGTTAACTTTATTATTACTGCTTTTTAGCAAAGAAAATATAAGCGAATTGAATTTCGATATACACGAAGCGTTTTGCTGTAGAAATGTGGTAATATGCCCAGATTGTGGTGTCAGCCTTCTGAAAACACAGTTATTGCAGCATCAGCTGGATAAGCATAGTCAAATTAAGTGTAATTACTGTGAATCTTTATTTCAAGAGTCCAGTGTTTTGGAACACGAAGTACCAGTTTGAATAATAACTTATTTATACTAGTTTGTATGCCCTAGACGACTGGTGGGGTGCGCTTTTTGTAACTTGGAGGTGACCATAGACCTATTAGAAGACCACGAGTACACATGTGGTGCCAGGACAGAACGCTGCTCAAATTGTGGGAACTTTGTGATGCTTAAATGCCGTAAAACTCATCGGTGTAAGAAATCCATAGGTAGTTGTGAATTATAGACTAATAAGTTTTAGAGTGTCTTACAAACTTACAGAATGTATGTATACTTTAATTCTAATAATTTAATTGCAGGATCTCGAGAAAGACTTTTGTATGGCGTTGAATTTGCAATATGAAGATTACATTCAAAATGTACATTCTGCAACACTCCAGAAACATATGGGAAGTCAGACTGACACCTCACATCATAAATCAACTGTTGGGAGATCGTCAAATGAAAATGTCGTGTAAGTTTGATATCAATGTGTTGAGACATTGGTTTATTATTACAGTCGTAATATCACTACATAAATATAGTAAACGCGTCTCGATTAGCTTATAAACCTTTTGGTGTCTTTTTTGCAAATTTCAATCTCAAGCCACAGTGATATGAATTAATAGAAGTATGAGTTCTTTCATGGTAAAAGGGATGGTATCATTTGTGTTTAAGTGCTATATCTTGCTACTGATTAGAAAGGATTGAATAAACAAGTTAGTAATATACGGTTGCAAATATTTATTCTACTTCAATTTATTAGTGGGATAACGTCAAAAGTGTCAGTTTCAAAATCCAAACTAGAATTTATGGATTGTGGCTAAATGTAGAGCGCAGGTTGCTCTTTTTGCCGTCTGGGACTCGTCGGCTGGGTGTACCTGCTTCATTGTGTTTGTATTCTTACTGGTACTCGAACTAAATCTTGTTGATCCTCAGCCATAACTTCAGTCAGTAATGTGCAGCGTAAGACCTGGCACATGTGTACATTAGTCCACGTTGTCACGGCCCATTAACATAGCGAGATAAGATTGTCACGGTTAATACCAAGCAGTAGTAGAGGTAGTAACTGTATCGGGAGTAATAAAAAAAGATTAGGCGTCAAAGCTACTATCCGGGAGGAGAATATAGATAAGTGGAATAGAACAAGTAATTTAGGTAGTTATGAAACTTAGGATTTAAGGGAATGTAAAGAGTGGATTCACCTCTTCCATTACTAAAATGTTCGAGCCATGTCGTCTAAAATCTCTTATCATTGGTTACAATGATCATCCGGGCTCCAACCAGGTGGTCTGCACCTACCTATATGACTCGCTTTAACAATCAGTACAAATGTAGTCAATAAACTGGCAGAGTCTTACGTTTACGTCATACTTCTAAGGTCTGCTTTATTTTGGATCTTGTTACGCGTTACTGATTTGCCAAAATCTTATTCGCTTCTCTTGTTTTAGGGATGAATGGGAGTCGAATTCAATGGTACCATGTGAATTTTGTCATTCCTGTTATTCAATAGATATGATTCATGAACATCAAGTATGTCTTTTGTTTCCATGCAAATTGTTTTGCAATTGTTAGACGACATCTGAGTGTACTTAAAGTTTTTTCTGTGAATTACTGCAAAATATGTCTTATTTTTTGTTGTTCATGATAGATTCATGCAGACTAAAGATAGGGATAAACAACCTGTTCTGTGGCAAAAATATGTCAATCCAAGTCGGCACGTTTCTAATTCTCTGAGTAAAAGAAAATGAGAAGAAAAATCGAGTGGTTTCGGTAAAAACACATAGTTTCGAGCAACTAAATACGAGAAAAGTTCAAGATAAACGAACTGTGGTGTAGTAGTAAAAGTGTACGAACATAAAAGAAAGGCTGTAAAGCGTACGGTCATCGCACGGAAACCCACTTCGTAACTCTATCATAACACTATGATAAAAGTCACTTTTAAGTTATGGAGAAATATTTGTTCTAATCTATGTTATAATGCTTACTCTGATGAATAATTACATTCGTGGTTTACATTCAGAAGCTAATATTGGTATTGATCGTATAAAGATCCTTAGTGAACCTCAAATATTATAAACATTCCTCTTTCTTTTTAGGAGAATAGGCGCTTAAGATATTCGAATTTCTATTACTGAATCACACGTTTGAACCTCTGTCCAATGATTTTGGCTTAGACAAATGGTTAGCACTATTTTCCTTCATTACTCTAGTGTGATTCATACCAGAGTAAACATGTCTATACTTGTGAAATAGGTTACATCGATCATAGTTTAGTTCAGTGTTATAACTGTATAATACTGTATTTTTACTGGTAATGAGTAAATAAATTTTTATAAATGGTTACTACAGGTTTTGTGTTTACTTGAAAATGGTTCATTGATGTCGGCAACAGAAGAACAGACAAATAAACCCAACGATTCATATAATCAAGTAACTACAAATTCAGAAATAACACCGAACTCTTGTAAAATTTCACAAGCAGCTGGGTCCTGTACTCGCCCACCAAGTTAGTGGTTGTTCTAGTTGATTTTTAAAACATTTGCAATTTAACACTACAAAACAATGTGTCACATTACTGTCCGGATTATTAACACTTACAATACAAGTACTTTCATCCAAATTTGAACGACTAGTTTTACAATAGTTGCGTGTTGAATATTTGTAAAAATTCCAGTGATTGAAATTCAGTTTTCTTCAGGCTTCTTCAAACTAATAACCGAATATCAAAGCGTGTTGTTGTATAGAAGCTTTATTGATCTGATCATAACTCAGTAGAATTCGAAATTGGAGTTTAGCAACTAAATAATTGTCAATAAGTGCAAATCATGGCGAAAGTTGATTAAAAGTCCATGATCAGAATTCACACTAATTTAATGTAACGAAAATTACATATCCCACATAGGTTCACAAACTAACTAGGTACTAGAAAGCCGTTCTGTCATATCAACAATGTTGAATGTGAAGTTTGTCTTACTGTAGGTATATTTCGTTTAGTGTGAAATGTGGAGAATTTGTGCTAAGATATTTATGTATGTGTACATGGATCTGATTTCAGAAAACATTTATCAATCATTTATGACCTTAGATTGTGAAAGTTGATAAACTTAGATTTACATAATTCTGTGTAAACCTATATATCGATTATGCAATGTTTATTTAAGTCTCCATAGTGACTATCAGTAGTAGGTAGTATCTATTTAAACATTACTGAACCGCTTAATTGGATACATTGATTTTCGTGTCAGTTTTTTTGAACTAGGTTTCTTTTTATCATAAATTTTAGTATTTGACAAAACTGTTAGTTATGCTAACGTTACATTGTGTTTGAACGTAATAGAAAAAGAAACTAATAACGAATAAAGCACATATATATGTTGTGAATAGACCACGTGTTACTCGTGATATACGTAAGTGGTTAAACGACCCCCAAATGCCTTGGTACTTCCGAGAGTAGAGAGAGTCCTCTCTCCCTCTCAAAATGCTCTAACATGGCCAAGCGTATATAGCCTCTGCCAGGGAATTCCTACTCACTGCCTTCTCACGCCTCAGGTGTTGCGTAGGAAATCGAGAGGACGAAAAGCGAATGTCCGGAGCTTTAACCGGGTTGGTGGACATGGAGAGTTCACCTAGGGGAGTTGGAAAACCCTGATTCCAAATCAATGGTGCACATGGGCTACAGTATCCTTAGGGAACAAATGGTGTATAAACTAGTCGTTGATCACCGGCTACCATGGGACTTCATCTCCTTACGATTCTCGACTGCCTTGTGGATAAGACCTTTAGGTCGAAGGCTCAGTGTGCGGCCTTCTAAGAAAATCGCCTGCCTTGGTTTGAGCACCCGGGCAGTATCACAGCCCTCACACAAATCAAATGAGATTTGTGTGGCGCGTATGTATCTGGTGCCCCTTTTAACCATTATCTATGTGTCCAAATAAATAAAGTGGTTAAACGACTGTGATGATGTATTTGGTTCCCTCCGTTAAAAATACATATGCCTATTCAAAAAACTATGATTTGTAAGTACATTTCGTTGAAAACTAACACCAACTAAAAGAATCATTGGGAATCAACGGTTGGTGCAACAATCAATCTTCATTAACTGAGGTAATTGGGGTATATAATACATGTCCGTAATCATTGCATACCCAAACGATTAGTTATAGATTGGAATAAAGCTGGGAGTGGACGAATTAAAATGTGATACCGACCCATGAATTTGTAGACTTTTAGAGTGATTCATGAGGATATGTGTTCCCTATCCAGTTGGGGTGACATGGCTCAGAATTAGTGGAAATGGCACTGATTCATTCACTTTTCCCTCTCCTTAGATCTTGAGTTTTAAAATGCCCTTATTCTTTTTATTCCACAGATTTATGCTTCTTTATCGAATCATAATACATATACTTAGTCTTTTCTACTACAGTTGACAGTCTTACTACTTCATCAACTTTGGTTTTTGGCTTGAAAATTTCATCTTAATATGCTGATATGGCATAGAAACTTGAACCGACGCATGCGTTTCAGTAATCAATTCCATATATGGATGAAATAGTGCTCCCTGAATGTGTCATCGGTTCTCTAGTTATCGTCATTTAACGTATAAATTATTCAAGTTAGGTGTATCAAAAATCAAGTAATTATTCTACTTATGACATGAAGTACTTGACACAGTTACACCAACAACGCATTGAATGAAGAGAAACAGCAATATTATAGAGCGATAGGCGAGAAGAAAACTTTGGAAATAAAAAATTAAGAATCATTAGAAATCCCGTGTAAGTAAAACACAACAAAGGTTTTTTAGTCTAAATGCGGATTATGCTGTTTACAGCAGGATTCCCACTGGTTTCCATTAAAACCTGTCTATCTAGGTCTCCTGCTACTGATGATAATTAAGGTTCTTTCTAAAGATTCAAGATGGAAAACCAGATACTAATACAACACAGATATTCTTGACTTTACTACACTTCCTTGAGTTCCCGGCGTCGTCAAATAACTGACTCACTACAACTTCATTTCTAAAATTTGTCATTATTAGTTTTTAACTACTCATGTTTATTGAGTAGTATATGGCGTCATACAGTGATGCACACTAACTTGACCAAAAGTTATGCAAAGTTTGACGTCAATAATCCATGATTTTAGCACCTGACAAAGAAAATAGTGGGTTTTTTCGGGATTTTCCAAATTTTGGAAAATTTACATCAATGAATCTGTAAAATGTATCGAATTATTATTATTATTGCCATTATTATTATTATTATTATTATTATTATTATTATTATTATTATTATTATTATTATTAATGGCTTTATTCAATATTATATAGATGTTTGTTGAGATTGTTAAACTTCTTATCTTATATCACTTAACGAGTGGGATTCAACATTGCCGAACATAAGACAAGTATCATCGACGGGACTAGATGATGGGCATACAGAATAGCAAATTAAGTGGAGTTTGACATGTGATGCACTAGTTGTCGACTCAGTGATCTAAAAGGTTAGGCTCTTGTCGTAAATCCTGACAGTGCTGGGTTCGACCCCTGGCGGGCTTCACTACTGAGATTGAGTCTCATAATAGGAAAAACCAACTGTTAAGTGCTTCCTGGTTTTTAACGGTTATCTCAATAAAATCAGTTCTTGATGTAAACTATGATGTATCTAACAGTTAACACTATAGTGTTGCCTTGATATAGCCTTAAGTCACAAGTTTTTTTAAGCCGAGATGGATAGTGGCTAGCAGAGAAATCCAGGATGCGTGTTTCGTCCTATTCGGGACTCATCAGCTGGATGTCCCAAATAGGACAAAACACGCTTCCTCGATTTCACTGTTAGCCATTATCCACCTTTTCTTATATGCTTAAATTTTGTATCACTGATTATGATTTTAATTTAATAAATGTACAGTAGATCATATCAAATTACTATATTGATTATTAAAGTCTAAGTTAGATTGTATCAATTTAGTCGTTTATTAATTATTGACTATCTTATCTATTCTAGTGATCAATTCTATAAAAGTACAATCAAAAAAATATCCTTCCGCATCACAACAATTAAAATCAACCAATAGAAAATCTGTTCAATCTTCTTCTTCCTCCTCCTCCTCATCATCATCATCATTAACATTACCAGAAAACAATACAAAAAATATCAAAACTCCAATCAATTCATATTGTTCTTCAAGAATGAATAATAAAAGTACTTCAGTTAACAAGAATCAAGATCCTTTGAAATTAGTACATAATCCTTCTAAGAAATGTTTAACCACTGAAACTGTGAAGAATTCATTTCATTCAAATTCATCATTAAATTTACAAAAGATAAAGAAGATGGAGAAGAAAAATTCTAATTGATTGAAAAAATAATACAATAAAATCCAAAGGTTTCTCCAAGTAGGATTGAATAAGTTAAAGAAATTTATTATGGAATCGTTTATTTTGTTCATTTATTGATTCATTCATTTAAATGATCATTTTATTTACTTAATACAAACCTAATATATTTTTCTCTTTATACATCAGGTTTCTTTGATATTATAGTAATTTCAATAGTTGAGATCATGAGTCAATTGAAGGTAGATTAATATGAAAAATCTAGAAGTATTGGACAACAAGAAACTGATAAGTTCTGGGTTCGAGTCTCGCGAGGCGGGACTATGAATGCTCACTGTTGTGTAGTCCAACAATAGGATGAAATGGTCGTCCTGTACTTCCAGGTTTTCCATGTCGGTCTAGCTTCAATTGACTAATGATCTCAACTATTGAAATTACAATAAGATTTTTTGATTAAAATAAATTCATTGTCCTATTTAAAAGTTTTCTCTTATCATTTTCAAATAACTTAAATTTATAAATAGTCGTATGTTTCTAAAAAAATTTTTGATAATACTTAATCCTCGATATTCTTGTCGTTTTATTGTGAGAACTTGGGTATGATGGGGTTCAGATATGCCAATGTACTTAAATTGTTATCAACGATGATATTGCAAATGAATTGTAATTAATTGTGTACTATTGACAGCTGATTGATTGCTTTTAATGATGAAATCGTAAGGTCGTGGGTTCGACTCCTGGTGAGATCGTGAGTACCTACTCCTAAATAATCTCATAATAAGTCGAAACTGATGTTCCTGGTTTCCAATAATATCCAGCCAGGATCAGTCTGCTACGAATGCAACCTACAAATTCATAATTCAATTTGTTGTTTGTTTTTTTGGATTATCCCGTTGTTGCTATTTTTGATTGAATTTCGATCGATCTGAATTGGGATATGTGGTTCTTGTGTGGGTTGCCTTGATATAACCATTATGCCGCAAGCCTTTGTACAATAAAGTGGCGTTTGGTCTGGAATGTTCTGGGTTCAAACTATTGAGTAAATATCAACTCTGAAATGAGGGTACATCCAATTAACAGGTTCCATATACGAATTGCACGGCTAGCCACATCCCATCTACCCTTCAAATTCATGTCACTTCAGCTGATGTTTAATGACCCTCGTATCTGATTTTTCATTTGGATCATATGAATGATTGTTATCAAAACATACATGTCGCCAATCTTCGCATACATTTATCGACCTAACTCGTGCTAGTGAATAACGGAATTAAATAAGTTAAATACGAGAATGGATTTTTGTATACGTATATTTCGTACAGTCGTTAATCGGAAACCGAAGCAAAATGAAATCACGCGAGGTGGAGAAGTCAAGTGAGCCAACTCGATTTAACCAAGCGTGTATCAATATTTATAGTCGGACAAACGGGTAAATCTCTCACCGAAATCCAAGATTTGTTATCCTAAATCTGATTGGTTCGTCCATTAATTGTAGTCTCGCCGATTATTTACTGTTTATTCTATGCAAGTAAATATATGTTCTCGAAATTCCTTTCTATAAGACAATGAGATATTTCATTTCAAACTGTTATTTCACAATGCAGCTATAAAAGCACTCGTAATATAAGTTACATATACTTGCCAAAAAAGAAATTCGTAGAGAATTACGTATATCCTAATTTCATAGACTAAGTGATCTCTATTGTCTAATTGGAATAATTCTAAATGAGTTTGTTGAAATGTATGAATAGCTGAAATCTACAATTGTTTATCTACCAATGTTTGTTGTCTCATATTCTGTTATTAGGGTGTATTCTAAAATAATATAGATTAGATCTTGAGTGCTGTTAGAGGTATGAGGGCGGTCATTAATTCCCGGTTGTCTACGCCGCGGAAGGGTTCTTCTGGAGGTACCTGAAAAGGAAATTGGGTTGGGGGTGGTATTAGTGACCTGAGGGCGTGACTGCAGTGCCCAAGGGACAACTACTTGAGGTCAGTCACACACGACCTTTTCATGAGTAATTTTTGTGTTAGCTCCGTACTTGTTGAGACCTTACCGCCGGAGACGGATATCCGTGGGATAAGGCGAGGTGTGCATTTTTAGGGTCGGCCTTTTCTAACCCCGCCCCTCATTGTGGGAAGTCAGCATCGCTGTCATGCTGGTTGTCTGAAGGAAACACTTTAATGCTGTCACACCTCTGTACAGTCAGCAGTACGACTTCGCCTTCGGACCTTGGATTTGTTGCTTTTAGTCTTATTGCTCTTCAATCGACCTGTCTGGTATGGTAGGACCTTGAGGAACGGTTGTTCCAGCCAGTATAGCTCAGTTGCTTCATTACGATAGGCAAGCCCGACCACCACGTCAAGGTAGCAACAACGGTCAGGTATAGATTGTATATTTGATTTTTGACAATTGGGCATTTTTCACAAGCTTTCCAAGTTAAAGTACTTTTTCAGTTTTTTTTCGAAAAATGAAAATTTCCACACTTTATTCATGATTATGTATCAAATTTTTTGTACATCTGTGCATTGCAACAACTCATATCACTTATCATAGTGTTAATATTGCTTCCACTATTTCAATCTGGGATGCCATTTCAGTTGTATAAAAAGATAGTAGCTATCCGAGACTAGTACCTTAAGCTATTAATTTTCATTAAAATATAATTCATTATTATATTAGCTGTTTCCATTTTCTCTCTGTGAACACAGATGTTTGTCATTTTGTTGGAGGCTGTCGACTGAAAGCTCATTAATTAAGTTACTTACCAGTTGAGACTAATCATCTTTGAAAATGAATTCGCCGAAAAGAGAACTCTTTGCTGAATTAATCTTTCTTATTGAACATATTAAAACACTCAAGTTTGACAAGCAAATAATTAACATCGTCAAAATGCCAAGAATCTATTTCGACAAATGGGTGAACGAATTTCGTGCCAAAATCCGAGACCTGTTATCCTAAATCAGATTAGTTCGTTTATAAATTATAGTCTCGCCGAATGAATGAATTAGCCTGTTCGGAAGCTAGAGTAGGCTATGTGAGTCTAACATAGCACTACAAAAAACCTCCACTTAATCTATAATCCTCTATTATTTTGAATACACAATTTTCATTTAGCAACACAATGAAATACATCATTTTTCGATCAAATAAACAACAAAATTTCATACTATAAAAAAAGTGTAGTGGCTGGTCTTAATCCGAGCCTACGTAACTTATTCTAGCTTCCGGACATGACAGTTTATTCATTCTTTTCAAGCTACATCATGACCTTGTTAATTATTCACTTATCAACTCTGATTTTATATGGGCGTCTCTGTGTATACATCCTATCTTACTCATCGCATGTCTGTAGCTTATTTTTGTGTGACTATAAATATTGATTAAATCGAGTCGGCTCATACGACTTCTCCACTGTGCGCCATCTCGTTTCACTCTATCTTCTTCTCCACATTAGCTATGTCTCTCTAATTATCTGTTCCGATCAATAACTGTATAAAAATCCATTCTCCTATTTGAATTATTGAATTCCATTATTCACTAGTGCGATCTAAATCGATCATTATATGACAAGGATTGACAACAGCGAACATTCATACGATGTAATTGTAGTGAGATCTCGAGCCACTAAAAAAAAAGAAAAACGAAAAGGAAATAAGATTAATTCAGTTACAAAGCAAAATAATACCATTATTAATTTTGATAAAATATTTCATTTAATTAGAATAAAATTAAAATAAATTAATGTAGCGTGACAATAGATTATTAGTCAAGAGTAAATATTAGTTTTTATCAAAGTTACCCCCCCAGGAAATAATAATTACAATCTTACTAGAGATTTTGTTACTTCTTTATCTAATTCAAGTATTTGAATGAAATAGATATGATCGATTTAGAAATTGTCTAAGGTAAGATTTAAAAAGAAAAGAATATATTCTTGGACTAAATATAGGTTTAAGTAATATATTAGATAACATTAAGTAAGACTGCATGGAGGACAGTTGATAAACTCGTTCAAAGTAAAGACCGGTGTTAGGCAAGTTTTGCTTACTTTCACTCTTTCTCTTTTTCTCCTGGTGATTGACTGGATCATGAGGACGTCAACATCTGAGAGAAAGCATGGGATACAGCGGACAACTAGGATGCAGCTGGAAGATGTAGACTTCGCAGATGATCTGGCTCTTCTATTGCACACGCGACAACAAATGCAGGAGAAGACAACCAGTGTAGCAGCAGCAGTAGGTTTCAACATACACAAAGGAAATAGCGAGATTTAACAATACAACACAACATACACTAATCGACTACACTTGACGGAGAAGCTTTGGATGATGTAAAAACCTTTACATATCTGGGCAGCATCATTGATGAACACAGTGGATTTGATGCAGATGTGAATGCGCGAATCGGAAATGCAGGAGAACCATAGCTACAATTAAAGAACATTTGGAACTAAAAACAACTTTCAACCAACATCAAAGTCACAATTTTTAATACAAATGTCAACACAGTTCTACTATATGGGGCGGAAACCTGGAGAACAAGTGGTTATTAACAGTTTTCTGCGCAAAATACTTCGGACCCGTTGACCAAACACTATCGGCTACAACCCACTATGGAAGAGAACAAGCCAGATTCAAGCGGAGAAAGAAATCTGGAAGAAGCACTGGAAGTGGATAGGACATACATTGACAGGAGCACCTAACAGCGTCACAAGGCAAGCCCTCACATGGAATCTTCAAGGCCAAAGGAAAAGAGGAAGACCAGAAAGCACATTACGTCAAGAAATGAAGAAAGACACGAGAAAAATGAACAAAAGTTGGATAGAACTGGAAAGGATGGTTTAGGGCAGAATGGGTTGGAGAATGCTGGTCGGCAGCCTATGCTCCATCGGGGGTAACAGGCGTCAGTAATTAAGTAAGACTACGTTTTTAGGTTTATTAAATTCCATTGTAAATTGATAATGAATGATTCATGAAATTTTAATAGTTGAGATCATGAGTAGTTAAATGAAGTTAGATCATTATGAAAAACCTGAAAGCACTGAACGACCGTTTCATCCTATTGTGTCACTTCTTAGCAGTTCACACCCAAAATCCCGCATCAAGAGATTCAAATCCAGGGTCTATCGGTGTCGCACGTGGGAACGCTTCACCTGTAGACCATTGAGACAGCCAGCATCCAACGGTGTTAATGTCTAACTTCAATTAACCCATGAAATTGAGCCATACATCCAACATTGTCTTTAGTGAGTTACTATTTCACAGCAGACCCAGTTGAACTCCACTGGTCACTGTTTCTTACTAGAACTCCAGGTTTTACCTCTTGAGGCTACTCACTAATGAACTTATGCTGACTAGTATCACAATGGGATTTTGTGGATATTATAGTAGTTTCAGTAGTTGAGATCATGAGTTAATTGAAGCTATTATTATTATTATTATCTTCGTATAAATCGCTTATTTAGTATCCCATCAGTCACATGGAATAAAATGATAATTTCAACTTTTAAAATAAGCTTATAATAAGCTTGATCAAGAACTAGCTTCATTTTCTAGAGAAGGATATTCCATGGACTGGAAATATGACTTTATTTTGTAATGATAAATGATGTATATTTAAGAATGAGTGTATATATGTACT